GAAGTTCTCTTCAATGCCTTTCCACTGGTTGTCCATCACTTGTGTTCATGCAAATGATGGTGAGGTGTGTGTCGTGGATGTGATCGAGTGATACAATCTGTGAGTGTAATCATAAAGTGATTGCAATCAATGTCTCACTGAATGGCAATTCATTTAAAAGGATTCATTCACTCCTCACTCGACCACTACTTATGGCATAAGACTTATGCAAACATTTGCCGCCAAAACACAGCTTTTTGTTGCCTTTCCCTCCAAACACTCCACTCCTGCACACAGAGGGCACCACTACTGCCACACCTCCCCCTCACTACCACTGCTGTGTACGGGCACTGAATACGGGGGTCTTTGTATAGTATATTTTGCTAATTATTTACCAGATTTAAGCATTTATTACGAGTTTAATGATTAAAATAATATGAATGAGAATATGTTGTAATAGTAATCATGTGTTAATTGAGTGTATAGTGTGTTGTGTTGTGTGAGTATATGTTTGTGTGAATCCCCCCGAAGTGTGGTTCCAATGCAACCATTGGTCCAAAAAGTTTGTCAAATGAATAGAAAACGGTTGAGAAAAGCGCTAAAAACTATTGAAACTATTGAACGCTTTATTCACTACTTATTCATAGAAACGGGTTTTAAGTGTCATTTAAATCGTTATTTAAATTTAGTTTTCATACAAAACAATGAGTGCTTTAAATCCAATAAATGTGGGCAACAAACACCGGGATATGTTTAGGGCTACGAAAGTGGTAAATATCAGTGAAAACTTCACTTCTCATGTGAATGTGTTATGATGTCATGTCTTATGTTGTCGTTTCTGAAGTGGAATCAAGTGTTGCACTCGTTTTACATCGGAATCACTCCTAAGAAGCACAGGAAACATATGAGAACTCATTACAACTGCTTTGTGGCCACCGATGCCGTCGATTGGATCTTAAATTATCTTCAATTCAGTCCACACTTTACCGGACAACAGATCTCGAGGTTGTGTTCATTGATGACTGTCTGAGTGACCGATGAGCTGATGGTCGGTATGTTTGTCCACAGATTCCAAGCCATAAACCTATTGCGGAAATATCTGGAGACGGATGTCATCGAGAGAGTGGACGCGAGGAAAGCGGGCCAACAGTTTCAGGACAACAAAGAGTTGTATCGATTTACCAACACTTTGGAGCAATTCCTCTTCAATGCCGTCAATCAACTCATTTTGTCGACCTATTTGTCTGAAAGCAATCTCCGACTCATACCACTCCTCAACCTCTACTTCTTGATCGGAAGAATCACTTATTGGATCGGTTACCAAATCGCCCCCAAATACCGCACCTTCGGCTTCACTGTCACCTTCTGGCCATCGGTGGCGGTGTTCACTCTGAACGCCTACTTCCTGTTGACCACAAACAACAATTACCTCTTCGATGGCGGCAAACCCTTTGGACGCATCTGAACACCACATCCATTGTCTCCACAATTATTCAATATTTCTTAACATTTTGTTTTGTCTCCAAAAGACATGCAAATATTTATTGAATGATTTATGCATTTATTTCAATGACTACTTATTTTAACCGTAATTTTTAGAGATTTTTCGTTTAGTTTTGTTTCACTTTATCGACAGTCAAGCGATAAGAAAACAATTTTAAATTCTTATTTATAACACATTTATTCTCGTATTAATTATACAGTATATTCATAGACAGTATATTTGTGTAATGTATGGCAACTATAAGACAATCGTATCATTCATTCATCTCATATATAAACATAACTTCATATTATTATACTTACCAACACTTTGGAGCAATTCCTCTTCAATGCCGTCAATCAACTCATTTTGTCGACCTATTTGTCTGAAAGCAATCTCCGACTCATACCACTCCTCAACCTCTACTTCTTGATCGGAAGAATCACTTTTTGGATCGGTTACCAAATCGCCCCCAAATACCGCACCTTCGGCTTCATTATCACCTTCTTACCATCGGTGGCGGTGTTCACTCTGAACGCCTACTTCTTGTTGACCACAAACAACAACTACCTCTTCGATGGCGGCAAACCCTTTGGACGCATCTGAACACCTGAAGACCACATCCATTGTCTCCACAATTATTCAATATTTCTTAACATTTTGTTTTGTCTCCAAAAGACATGCAAATATTTATTGAATGATTTATGCATTTATTTCAATCACTACTTATTTTAACCGTAATTTTTAGAGATTTTTCGTTTTGTTTCATTTTATCGACAGTCAAGCGATAAGAAAACAATTTTAAATTCTTATTTATAATGTAAATAAGAGCATAATTAATATGTCATATAAGTATCTGTCATATAAACACATTACATACCGTTGATATTCTGTTAGCATAGTAAGTAAGTAGAGTATATATTTGTATTGAAGTATAATAATATGAATTCTCTTAATCCAGTGTATTATTCATGCATTTTTCATATATAAATTTACATTTAATTCATTTCCGATTATAAGTAATACTTAAAACATTTCATTATATATACAATTAAAACGAATTTCATTCTAATAAAAATTAAAAACTTTTTATGTATTTGTGCTTTCATTTGAAATATAACTAAAATGAATGAATGGATCACAAGTGGTGTCATATATTCAGTCCAAATTCGGGGGTCGAATGGAGACATCTTTGAAATATCTGTGACTCAATGCCTTTCGCGCGGATATTCGTCGGTTTGGATCATATGTGAGAAGTTTCTGCAGTAATAGATATACCGGTTATTAGCTATTGTTTGGAGGGAATGACAGTTCAGACAAACCACAAGAAGTTCGATGGCATCGGACTCCATGTTTGGCAGTATTTTATTGATATCCTGTTTAGTCCATTGAGGGAATGTTGACTTATAGTCGGGATAACTGCAAACCCCGGGCCATACGCTCTCGTCAGGCGTTCCCAAAGTGCGGAATATTCGGAACAACTGATCGATCTCTGAATCGCCCGGAAATAGCGCTCTCTTTGTGACCATTTCTGCAAAAATACAGCCAATACTCCAGACATCAACGGATGGACCGTAGAAGTGGGCGCCAAGAAGTATTTCCGGCGATCTGTACCACAGAGTGACCACTTCATGAGTGTAGGTGCGAATGGGAAGACCTATACTTCGCGCTAAACCAAAGTCTCCTAACTTTATATTTCCGTTGCAATCAATCAACAGATTCTGTGGTTTGAGATCTCTGTGGAGGACTCGATGGCTGTGACAGTGGGCCAACCCCTGCAACAACTGCCACATGTATGACTTGACCAGCGATGGCGCCAAACCGGTGCCACTCGTGGTGTCCAACAACTTCTTCAGGTCTTGGTTCAGGTACTCAAACACGAGATACAAGTTTTTGTCGCAATGGACCACATCGTGGAGTCGCACCACATTCGGGTGATTCAGTTCCTTCAGCAGAGCTATCTCTCGGATGGCAGTCGACGGAACCCCTTCCGACTCCCTGTCCACCCAATCACACCAATCGCACCATTCATGCAAACAAACCAGTTGTGAGACAACGAGTCATGAAATCAATTCAGTCGTTCATAGCTTACGAGTCGAGTCGGATCTTCTTGAGCGCCACCAGAGATCCGTTGTGTTTGTCTTTAGCCTTATAGACGATACCATACGATCCTTCGCCTATCTTCTCGATCCGCGAGAAGTTCTCTTCAATGCCTTTCCACTGGTTGTCCATCACTTGTGTTCATGCAAATGATGGTGAGGTGTGTGTCGTGGATGTGATCGAGTGATACAATCTGTGAGTGTAATCATAAAGTGATTGCAATGAATGTCTCACTGAATGGCAATTCATTTAAAAGGATTCATTCACTCCTCACTCGACCACTACTTATGGCATAAGACTTATGCAAACATTTGCCGCCAAAACACAGCTTTTTGTTGCCTTCCCTCCAAACACTCCACTCCTGCACACAGAGGGCACCACTACTGCCACACCTCCCCCTCACTATCACTGCTGTGTACGGGCACTGAATGCGGGGGTCTTTGTATAGTATATTTTGCTAATTATTTACCAGATTTAAGCATTTATTATGAGTTTAATGATTAAAATAATATGAATGAGAATATATTGTGATAGTAATCATGTGTTAATTGAGTGTATAGTGTGTTGTGTTGTGTGAGTATATGTTTGTGTGAATCCCCCCGAAGTGTGCTTCCAATGCAACCATTGGTCCAAAAAGTTAGTCAAATGAATAGAAAACGGTTGAGAAAAGCGCTAAAAACTATTGAAACTATTGAACGCTTTATTCACTACTTATTCATAGAAACGGGTTTTAAGTGTCATTTAAATCGTTATTTAAATTTAGTTTTCATTTTCATACAAAACAATGAGTGCTTTAAATCCAATAAATGTGGGCAACAAACACCGGGATATGTTTAGGGCTACAAAAGTGGTAAATATCAGTGAATGTGTTTTCATGTCATGTCTTATGTTGTCGTTTCTGAAGTGGAATCAAGTGTTGCACTCGTTTTACATCGGAATCACTCCTAAGAAGCACAGGAAACACATGAGAACTCATTACAACTGCTTTGTGGCCACCGATGCCGTCGATTGGATCTTAAATTATCTTCAATTCAGTCCACACTTTGCCGGACAACAGATCTCGAGGTTATGTTCATTGATGACTGTCTGAGTGAGCGATGAGCTGATGGTCCGTATGTTTGTCCACAGATTCCAAGCCATAAACCTATTGCGGAAATATCTGGAGACGGATGTCATCGAGAGAGTGGACGCGAGGAAAGCGGGCCAACAGTTTCAGGACAACAAAGAGTTGTATCGATTCACACGACAGGCCAACGAAAACCTGCCTTTTATTTCGTCTTCAAATCTCAATCCAAAGCAAATGCCTTCGACTCCGAAGTCACTGAAAAGTGATGATCAGATCCCAGAACTCATTAAACAAATGTCTTTAACCGAAAAGAGCGATGCATTTAAGGAAATATTTTTCGATAAATTGGTGGCATTTGTGCCAAATGTGGACGACTTTGTGCGAAGGGATGACATCATATCACTGACTTTAATGCATAACATGACTCGAGTCAGTGCTAACGGTGTGGTCAGACTCACCGACAGGACTGAAGATTTGCCGCATTGGGTGGTGTCAGCCATGAAGTGTTTGGCTAATTGTAAGCAAATTGTGTTTTGTTATCACTTTTTCAATTAGTTTTTCAATATGTGATTGCAATCCAAATATAGGGCCCAAAGCGTCGGGAAGTGACAGTTGTTTACCGAAATACCCGGGCTTTGAAAACGATGTGTTTGCTGTTGTTCGGGATTACTTCATCAATATAGGCATCCCTTTGATTCCCAACCAATTGTATGCTCTAATCACTCACATATACGACAAACACACGGCCAGTCCTACGTTCGCGTCTATCAACCATCGCCTCAATCGTAATCACAAACCAAAAGCCATTGAAATCCCGACACCTATTCTTTGCTGTCAGAAACAACAGAACACTTCGACACCAATAGTTGAATCTCAAGCGCCGACAACCGTAGAGCTGCCGCCCAATCATGTCTTCGAGACAGTGTTTATGGGAGAGACGCCGGTCACCAAAATCGTGTCCATCGATGAACTCAATAATCTCTTTGCGAATAACTCTCGTATTAAAAGTTGTGATTCATTTTGTGACAAATATTCTGCAATTAATCGTCAGACACACCAAAAGTTTGAAAACAGTCGTTATGTCGAAGCGATTACTACTATTCCTCGAAACCGAAGGCAACTGTTGTATAAAAGTCCGATCACTGAAAACATTTACAAAAGCAAATACCAATCGCCAGAATCGAGTGCCGGAAGTCCTAACAGTTATTATAACTTTGGGTTTGCAATGCAGAGCCCCACAGAAGATGGAGAGTATATGGAGAGCAAAAGCGTGTCCTCCCTGTCCTCCATTCACATGAGTCCTGTTTCGCGTAACAGTCAATACGACAACTTAAGCGCTCAGTTCTCCAAGTCTTCCAACAATTCGTCCGACAATTCCAATACAATAGTCAATCAAAACTCAGACAAACTCGTGGAATCTCTGCGATTGAGTCTCTTTCTGATGCCCTCTCCTAACAGAAGGCATTTACACCTCTTATTAAGACTCCTCTTAAAGATCATTCAGAATAAAGAAATTCATTTCCGTTTCTACGAAAACATTTCTATTAAAGAATATGTAATTCAATAGTTTTCTGTAAAACAAATTGCTTCAAACTAATGATAACTTTCGCACAATTATTTAGATTCTCAAGACATTCACACGAAGTATATTATGCGCCCAAAAGGAGAGCAGTTATAATGAAATGAAAGCACAGAAAATAGTGTGTCTTTTACTCGACAATTGCAAAGATATGTTTAAAGTGCCCGAAGATGTGGTCGAAGGCGTCGACCGATTGCTCGTTGAAAGAGCCAAAAAGGTATTTGAGATGCGATTGCTGTCAATGATTACATGTTTAACAATACGACGATTGTGTTTATAGAGTCTATTTGGCGATAATCAAGATCTCCAGTATTGCCAGAAAGTAACTGCCGATGAGTTTGAGCTGCAAAGGGATGTGATGTCTGAGTACGCGTTGGCAGACCTTCTCAAGAGTATTATGACTGATGACAGACTCAGTGATAGGGATAAACTTAAATGGATTAAACAGGTATTGAATCTATTACTTTGTGCCATCAATGATACTGTATAACAATATTTTGTATTCAATGAATCACAGTTCAAATCGTATCACCCGGATGTCTATGATCTGTATTTTACAAATCAGTTGAAAGTCTCCAAATCTGAAGAATACTTGGATAAAAGACATAAAAAACAAAATCGTTTACAAAACAAAAACTTAATCCAAAGATTTTTATCAATTCGTTTGTAAAACAAAATATATTTATATAGAGTATAAAAGTCTAAATATATTTTCATATATCGTATTATACAATATACAGTATTTGACAGTTACTGTATTCGTACTGCAGTTACACAGCGTACGAATGAATGCAATTCTCGATCAAAATATCCACTCATTTACATATCATAATTAACACAATTCTGTTAATATAAGTTGTGATCAAATAATGAATTCAATAAATTCACTTGCAAGTTTTCATATTCTTACACTGTAAATATAAATTGCGAAATAAATATTCATTTATTTTTAATCAATTCTAAAATATTGAGTTAGTGTTCAAGAAATATATTTAATTTTTATTTTAAAAATTATTGATGAAATTAATAATTAGTTTCAAAACGATTTTATATATGAATTGAAGGAAATTCTGGAAATTAATGAAAATATTATATAATAAAATTGAAAAGTATTGGAAATGGTAACTAGCAAAACAATTATCATTATGTAGAATCTCTTTTTCAATAATAAATACTTTCAAAACTTTATTACTAAACAAAATAAAAGTAATTAAAAAGTTATCAGAAATTGATCTAAAATTCCGATTAAAAGCAATTGTGGAATGAATTTATTGACACAATTGTCACAAAATTAGTCAATTGTTTAGAATAGAAAAGTGGATGAAATGGCACACAAGAAGGGCTGCTGTTTAGTGTTGGGTCAGGAGGTGGCGGCCAATAGAGGCGAACTGTTGCCGGACTGGCTTTTGGCTCTTTCGATGTAAAGCTTCAATAATTTCATTTTACTTCCGTTTAGTGACGATAAGTAAGGATTGATAGCATCGGCCACAACACTGTGGATGGAAACCATGCAAAACACAGCAGCCTTTCGAACAGCACTCTCGGGATTGTCGTAGGCCTGGAGGGGAGAGCAACAAACATGTGATACATTTGTAACATTCAGCAAACAATAGTCAATGAATTACTTGAAGCAATGCGGGCATCATTTGTGGCAATAAATCCATCACAATATGCTTTGGCTGTAATTCTATTAACTATAGAAAAGTAATCAAATCATTAGAATTGCTAATAATAACATGGATATTGAATATTTGGTTACTTTGGTTAACATTTTAATGGCTGCAATATTAACGGGGTTTTCGCCTGTTTTGATGACAGACTTAAGTATTTGGAGGCACTGGTCGGGCGGCAGTACAGCGGAGGCAGTGCCGGCCGCGCCCTCAGCTGCGCGGACCACTTCCTTCTCGGGATCTTTACTCGACTCAAGTATTCTAAGAATCGTGAGTTCAATGAATTCCGGGAAATATTTAGTCCTTTTCATCAGCAGTTCGCACATTACTCTCAAAGACATGGCTCTAACGGCACTATTGGACTGTTCAGTCATTTTGTCCAAAAGTATTCGATAGACATCTTTGAAGCGTTGCGCCCACTCTTCGTTACTTCCCTCACGAATCAATTCAATCAAATCATTGAGGCTTTCCTTTTGAGATTCCGTGTCTCGAGTATGCGATCGCAAACCAATGAGAACTGTATTAAAATAGGCGCCGTTCTCGCACTCCACGTACGAGTGGTTCCCGTTCTGCGAGAATACAATCGGAATGATTGTCTCATTAGTGTTGGCTTTGGAGGGAGAGGTGACCGGAGTTTGTCTGTTGTTGTGGCCAATGGATGTGCCGTCCAATTGACTGATACCTGAATCTTGTGAAGCACTCGACAGATCTTTCATATTTCTGCCCAAAACTGTCTTTTTTGGACTAATAGTGGGACTTAAGGTCTGTTTATCATCACTGGAGTTGTGATTATTAGTAGAGCTGTTTGTGATCGTTGTAATGGAATCCGAGTCCACATTAAAGCTATACTTTTGGATTTCATCCGTTGTTTTACGCAATGAATTGTAGATATCGTCGGGATTTAAGTTCTCCGTCTCGTCATATAAACTGAGTTTATTGAAGGCCTCACTTGTTTTGATCACAGATGGGGTGCGAAGTGAGACAGGCGTGAGAGGACTGAATGCCGGCGACTGACTCCGACCCCTGCGCTTGTGGTATATTATCTGAAGCGCCGCGTCTTCGTACGTCTTCGGCAATGCGTTTATAATGAGTGACATATCGGCGGCGTTTAAGTTATATAAGTCGACGATCACGTCCTGAGATATGCGCCGCAGGTCTGAACTCTTGGGGTCTGCCGTCCAGGAAATGATTTTCATGAGCGACAGCTGTATCTCATGATTATTCCTCGAATTGAAGTTAATATCGTTTGAATCCATTAATGGAATCAAATGAATCAAATACTGAAGAATAGATGTCTTAACCCTAACGTTTGGTGTCTGTGTTTGGTCTGAGAGGAAACGGATTATCACTACAAATTGATCTTCGGGTGAAAATGATTCCCGAATTAATTCAAATGTCTTCAGAATACGGCTCTGAATAGATCCTAACGTATCGCTTCCAATCTTAAGCATGAGTCGAGTGATGAGAATATAGAGCCACGAGTTTAATTCGCTTTTATAAATAAGTATCAAATCGTTTAAAATTCCCAAAAACAATGTGAAGGTCTGGAAAACAATTAACAATTGAGTAAATCGTGACTCAAGTCATACGGTTAGTTATACCACACCTTTGTGTGCGGATCCAAAAGCATTTTCGTGAAAATGTCTGTAATTCTAATCAATTCGTATGAATTCAACATTCGAGTCGAGTCTCTGAACAGAAGCGCTAAACTCTGGAGACCTTCCTTTCTGTCCGACCAGTGAGTACTCGACAGGTTCTCTATGATGTCCGACACATCCTTCAAATATTTTCAAGCAATCATTCATTTTGTGGTTCCGTCACAACAATAAGCATTTGATAAATACCTCGATTTTCCTTCTGCCGTAAGAACTGAATGAAATGTCTGAACATATGCTATAAATTAAACCCAAAATAATTAGCAAACATTTCAAAATCAATTGTTTATCAATCAGTTTATACCTCGAAGTTTCGCTTTCATCGGACTGGTCGTCGAACTGAGTGTTACTGTTATACCTCTTGCGAGGACTCAAAGCCTGCTCTGCGATGAGTGCGTCTTCGAGAGCTGCCTCCGCCTCTTGGCTTTGCTGTAATATCTTCTCTGCCATTAGAGGCGTTTGTCTATCATTCGAGTTATTCGACATAAAGTGTCGATTTCTTCCGCTAGCACTGAGACGCCTTTCCATCGATGCATAGCCAGTAATGACGGCTCGATTAGGACTGGGATCCCTACTCGATGACGTAGGTATTCCTGATGTTCGTCGCACCCGATGTCCACGAGAGTCGGTTTGCATAGAACTGAAATTGAATCGTTGCGGAGAACCGGAACGACTGCCCGGTTGTGACTTTGAAACTCTATCTTTCGTACGACTTCTGTCGGGCGTTGCGACTGTCGAGTGATCCACTCGTTTGGGTGTCGTTCGTGCTATCAATGCATTCTTATATTAGTTTCAATGTTTTAAACAATAACTCAAATATACAGTAATCAGACAATTGGGAAGCAATGCATTCCAAAGCAAAACAAAACTTACAAACAGAATAACCGGTCGGAACAACCTTCGGCTGCGCCAGTGCTGCACAATAAGCAGCTCTGGCTCTAGCTCTTCGCTGTGCTCCTGGATCTATAGCACTGGTTGTTCTAAAGGGAGAGGGCATCACACGTGCAGAGGCTATCAAACATCCAACAAAACAATATATAAGACATGCAATCAATTAAATTGTAATTTTAATGACAACTTTTAATTATGAAAACATCACGTGCTACAAACTAAACATATATTTCAACTCAAATCATACCATCACTTCGTGGCGAAAATACTGGAATCCCTGACCGAGCCTTCGTTAAAGTGTTGGACTGACGGTTCAGGTTTTCAATGGAACCGCTGGAAGAGACACTATTAGTACGAAGTGATTGTGGTCTCTGTGGGGCCACCACTTTGTTCAGTGAATGCGTTGAATTGGATATATTGTTGTGGTCGCCGAGAAGTATACGCTGTTTACTGCTGTCCAACGAACTCATCAGATAATTGGCCTCTTTCTTGAACTTATCGGCGAAACCCCAGTAGGCTTTGCGAGCATAAGTGCGGGCCTCGGGGTCTGCGTCACAAATGCCTTTCTTGATGGCCTCCTGAAGGATGGCCACGTGCTTCTCGATCGCCTGATTAGGCCACGTGTGCAGCAATTGGTCCATAAATTCAGAACAAGATTTGCGGATCTCTTTCGACTTCGAAGATATATTGTATGTAATGACTGGAATCAGACGACTGGCGTGAGTCGACTGTATAATGAACCGAATGGCCACCACTGCAGAGCTCGACATGATTTTGGCACTGTTTTGGATCAGATTTATTAGCGTCGGAAGCAATGCTTCTGCAAATCGATCGCATCTTCAAATGGGAGTCAAAAAAATGAATACAAATGTCATTTGAAATATGAATTCAATCAATACCTTAATCCGAGTCGTTGTGACAAATAAGCGATTGTAATACAGGCCTCGCGAACCACTTTAGATCGCAAGTCTTTGACAGACACTTGAAACGAGAGTTCCATTGGTTTAAGAAAGCCATGAAATTCATCGAAGTCTGCGGCGCCGGCCACTAGTAAAGAGCGAAGTCTTTTGAGAGCTTCGACTCTCTTCTCCCAATGAATGCTTGGGTCGGAACAGGTTTCCCGGATTTTAGTGATCTCTCGCTCCAAGTCTTTACTCGAGAAGATCATAACTCGGGGCACGTCTTCGAACTCATTCATAAACAACTCCTCATCTGCAGCTCCCGATCCTATGTTTTCCATCAATTTTTAAAAATGTTAATAACATATGTAAACCAAATCCAAATTATAAAAACAAGTTAACAACATGTAAAGTGCTCTCAATGTGTCAAATGATTGATTAGTTAAAAGTTACAAAAAAGGTATAAATCTTTAAACAAATTCAAAATATGCTGAATGATAGGTCACACATAGGGAAAGGTATGGGTCACTGATATAACGAGTACTAAATGGGTCACAACTCTAGTCTTAAATCACTTTCATATTTGTTGCGGTAATAAAATATTTGAGAATATTCTTATAGCAGTAATGTTTTCATTGTTATCACAATTCTTGATATTCTGATAAACAAATTACTTTATTTCACATTCATTTCAATCAAACCGAGATTACACTATATTTTTATAATCAAAGTATTACTGTATTACTGAATGGTATATCAAATTAGAGCAAAAGAATGCGGTTTTAATGATATCAATATGATATGTATACTAATGGCACAGATTGAAGGGCTTTCATAAATATTTGTCACTAACTTGTTATCGAAATCATTGTTTTCTACATAACATTGCCATACAACACATTGTAATCTCTAATCGCATGGCATTTAATAATACATTTGTCAATATATCTAAAAGTTGGGACTTTTATGTCAAGGGTTTCCAAGTTTTTAATGGGACACATGAAAATTCATTCATTTCATACATAACTCGTTACTAAACTTCAATCAAAGCATAACATCATTTTAATTAATAACATTTTTTCATTTTTTATTAAAAATAATAATAAATAACAGATCTATAGATATGGATGGGAAGGGCATTATAATGCAGTTATATTGCATTCCATGGCATAAGGGATAGGATTGTCATTAATATTACCAAATATAACAACTATTATATTGAGTTTAGGAGAGGTGTGAAAGTGTTGCAAACAAAACAATACCACTGTTTGTATTGATGCCAACAAATTGTATGCTTTTTATTTCAGGTTAGATTACACCCGACCGGTAGGTTCGGAAACGCCTGCACCACAAACATACTGTCCATACATTTACCACTACTTCATTATCTCTAATATTGTCCCTAATTATCACCCATTGGTTACCCCAATACACTTGTCCCTCATATGGACAATACATAAACTATTATTGAACTCAATCTAAATGTCAAACTTAATTGACATATAATTAGCACCAAATATAAGACTAGTGACTAAACTCTGGAGATTCACCACTTTTGGTGATAATAGAGGCCAACAATTGAGTGACAATTGAATACAACTTCAATGCAATTCAAAACATGCAATCGTTTGTCACATTTGGACTCAACCTAAATGTCAGATCAGATTCAAGTGAAGACAATGATTGCAATGAATATAAGACAATGTGTGGAGTGATGGGCACCAAAGACAAGCACATCATTGGCATTGAGAGCCCAAGAGAGTGATTGCGGGATCATCTGTGAGACAGGTGTGTGGACTCACTTGAGGAGCTGTCCATTGGTGTGGTTAAGGCATTCCTCTTCATTGGTGGTACGGAAGTGGACCTCTTTGATGATGACTTCAGCACATTCATGGACGACAGCCACTGACGGGTCGATGAGATGGACTGAACGGCAGTTGTGGTCACTTCCGCTCAATTCAATTGATCTCCAAATGAACCAATCGTTCAAACATTGCATCAAAACAGAGACAAACGGCGAAAATGGCGATCACTTTATGCTTATTATTACGTTATTTACTCCCAATTTGGCACTCAATCGCTCACATATGCTATTACTCCATACGACAGTAGGCAACACATGGGGGTAACTGTGAGTACATACACTATGACTCATTCACATTGTCAGGTTTGACACAATAGGGGCTTATATTTGGGGATTACTGTCACGTAATACTGTAGTGAGAGTGCATACCATTTACTGCACGAAAGTCACGGTTTTCATTGAATACAGTACAACACATACAGTATAAGCCCTGTATTGATACACAACTGAACACACATTGCATTGAATGATGACATCATATTTGGCGCTAAATTCAAACATTGATTTGATTAATAAAGTTATGAAAGTTTGAGCAAAACTATTGTCTTATTTATTGAAAGTTAATTCAGTAATAATTATAATATTGTATACATTATATGACATTAAATAGTCATTCATTGTGTAAATTATTAATCGTTTTGTTGAGTCCATTGAATGATTGAGCAAATGGTGACCAATTGGTCTCAATGGTGACCAATTGGTCTCAATGGTGAACTCAGTGTAATAGTTGTCTAAATTGTATCAATTATTGCATTACTTGTTATAATCGTATTGTTTGAGCACTTATTGAGTCATAAACTTGTATTGAATTGAATTGAAATTAATCTCAAATGGGTTGACACTCAGGCCAATGCATGTATGACTGGAGTGTGGATCAGCTTCCGGTGATCAGAGGGTGACTTCCATTTTGTTCTGTCGTCTGTGGATCTTTGCGGGACCGGTGGTGGTGTCGGGCGGACCCAAACACCGGAACACAAACGTCACGACATCTCTGCCGAAGTCGGCTTCAAATCTATGGTTAATGTAATCATTAGACTATTGATGGCATGAATGGCATGAATGGTATAAATAATGTACTCATTAGTGATGAGAATATGCGGGGGTTTAGTGACAGCGTTTTGGATGACCAGGAACAATTTGGTCACTATCTCTATGACATGTGTCGACTCAAACACAAACGCTTTCCTCTCTTCAACTCCTGTCTCGTCCTATAAATGCATCAAAAGATTGTATCTAAACATTGGTTCATAAAGTGATGGATTGCTGGTATGACTTACACTACTGGTGTGAATGACCACTATATCGTCGATGTATGGGCTCAATGATATCCTATGGATGTGGTGGACAGGTATGCGATATTTGCATTGCATAGTTCTCTGATCCATTATAATCATAGCACTCGTACTGATCACAAACAACTTCTGCACAAACTTTTCAATTTGAATAAAATATGAGAATTTTTAAACATTTAGTTGAAGCGACTATTTATTTGATACCTTTCCTCCACTTTTAGTGATTTTATTGATAATATCTGCGAACACCACGTATTGATCGCCCAATTCTTGTGAGCATCTCTTCCAGCGGACACTCTGTCTGAGGCGGACGTAATCGCCTCGAAATGGATGCGAAACACTCTTCTTATACGAGACCTTCTTATCTCGAAATATAAGACTTGCCGTCACTTTCTCACGCATTCGGTTTCGGGCCGTTTGATCGAATCGTAACCGATATCTATAACACTGAAAGTCCATTTCAATCATCATATTTGCCTTATATTTCCATTCACTGTACACTTACTCTCCATTTATGATAGAGTTTTCGTAATAAATAACTCGTTTGCTGTAAAGAACGCGGAGCTAAAGGCCATTCACGACATATAGGCGATTGAGAGGGCAGTCGTCGTGATAACCAATTCAAATAAGTTTTCCTCTATTGGTACATTTAAGACATACAGTCAATCGTATATTGAATCAAATATTCACAATATTTGTCAAGTCATAAAAATGACATACTTTCCATGTTTTATAATTCCTTGAGATTATTTGTTGACTTTCAATGAGTTGTAAAAATAGTTTGCGTTTAGTCCAAGCCCTCCATACCTTTTGTATCAAAGTTGCCAATTCGTTGAGTCTCTCGTTCCGGTAATCGTCTAATTCTGTCATCTTTTGTCAAATATAGAGTTTTGTTAAGAATTTATTTCTAATAAATGTTGTAATCATTTGATGTGAAATATTTGATACCAGTCTTAAGTTTTTGATAAATATCTTGGTTTTTCCAAAAGCATATTCTGATGGATGAATTGGGAACTCTTTGAGCAAAAGTGCAACGCCGTCAATTGAAGTGCCTGTCCACTTGGGCCAGGTGACCGTTGACAGCATTTTATAGCGGTTTAGGAAGGAGTCGTAGTCTTGTCTATGAAAATAGCCGGCCTTTCGGAGTCTTGAAGTCTCGGTTAAGCACTGGTATCTGACCTGATGCTGAACGAGACCCGTTTCAAACACTTGCGGCACTTTTAGGGCGTTTGGTTTAATACATTTTATAAAATGCAGTTCTTTTGACTGTATATTCTTCATGAGAGCACCGATAGATATCTTGAATTGACTCGCTATAGAGGCCGGCCTTTTAATATGAGTTCGATAGGGATTGCCCTCTGGAAAGAGGACTTTTAGTAACGGGTGTTCACTTTGAAACATAACGTACGATAAATCTCTATATAATATATCATTATTTTTGTCAATAAAACCATTTACAGAATAAGTCACCTGAAAATTAAACATAATTCCAATTACTCATTAATATTATATTTATTTATATAGTATTATCTTATATTGCTCATTTATGGTTCTGTATATTCCGTTAAGTATGAATAAGTGTACACTGTATAGTGTTGCATGAATGTTATACAGTACTAGATTTGTAATATATTGAATTCTACATGAACATGTTCTATTAAAATGTATATTTTGTATACTATAGACATATAGAGTACAGTTGTAGAGTATATTAAATAAAAATAAATTTTTCGAGGATTTAGGAATGAAATAATGATTGGACTCACAGTTCCTGCGAAATGTCTGACTCGAAAGCAATGGTTAGGCAGCGGTGGCAGTGATGAAGCGCTTCCGGGATTGTGTGGTTCGCAGGAAATATTCAAATGAGGCACTACTACGAAGTTTTTGCATCCGTGGCTTTCATAGTATGGGTTATCCTGACTGTCAAAGTAAGGATTATCCTCACAGGCTTTGCTCATGTTTTGCAGGAACATCTCATCAGTGATTGGCGTCACTTTCAAACACTCCTCATCTAATAGGGCTAGTATTCCGTGATTGTTCTGTCGGTATATCCAAGCATTCATTTGTATGAAAATCGTATAACAATTCATAATCAATACAATCGATAATACCTTTTCAATCAATTCGCAAATAACATTATTATTAAAAAAATCAAATTTCTTCCATTGAATTCCCTTTAAATTTATCCACAAAATAATTGCAATATTTATTTCAAAAGCATACAAATCAAGAATTTCTTAATAGAACAATGAGATAACAAACCTCTTTCAAATACTGTTCTTGCTCATACTTCAATGTAAGATCAATAAAAATTTGATGCAATTTTTCATTGCAATAGTTTATAAGAAATTGCTCAAAAAAATTTTCCTAGAATAGAGTTTCATTATTAATATCAAGTAACTTAATTGAAGTACAGTATATTATACTGTAACTGAATTGAATAAAATACATACATCAAAAACTTCAAATCCATAGACATCTAGAATACTAACAGATCTTCTTTTACTAATAATTTTGGCCTAAAATAAAGTAATAGTAATTATTGTCTCAGATTGTAAGTTGATCATTTTAAAAACTATGATTATCTGAGAAAGTTATTTATTTAATAAAATAATTTAAATTATTAGTTAGTAATTAGAAATGTTAAGTTCAAAATAGGATAATATAGAAAGAAAGCTTACTTTTGTAAACTCGTTAACTTTGTTGACAATCCAAGTGAAGAGGCGATTGTAAAGTGCTTTACATAAGGCATCTCTTGTCCTTTTGGCCTAAACCACAATAACAATGAATGTATGATAATTGGGATGAATTGGTTTGTCTCACTTCAATAGAACAGAGATCAGCGACAAGTAATTCATGTCTGGTTTCAATGATTCGTTGTGTAAATGCAGTTTCCAAAGCAGTCATATCCGAGACCAACAGTTCGCACACATCGTACAGCTCTGGACAGATGAACAATAGATAAGATTAAGCATACAGTATTAGTATTAGGTATTGTATTAATAATTTAAACAAATTGAAAAGTCAAGCCAACCGTATTCATTGAGTACAGAACAGCCTTCAGTGCCGTCAATGTTGGCCTTTGGTATGAACTGTAAGTTTCCTAACTTAAGAATTGCAGAAATTATTTGAAAAACAGAAACTATATCTTCGGCAGTAAATCCAATGGTTTCCATGGCTTTCTGTGAAGTTTGAATTTTTATTTATTATTTGTTTTTATTTGCTTTTAAATATACTAACTTTTGTTAAAATAAAATTATTTTTGTCATCAAAATCGTCTGATTTAGTAAATTGAGAATCACTTAAAAGTGAATAACTTTCAATATTTCGCTGAAGTTTTAAACACTCTGTAAATAATTTAAATAAATAATTATATATTGTATGCTATCTAATATTTAAAATATAATTACATAACATTTATATGGTTTTTAAAAGATTTATGTAAATACAGTATTTAAACTTTTTATCATTATTATTATGTATACTATTTACTAAAATAAAAAATGTTAAAAATTTTGGAAACTTACTTAACAAATGTAAATCAATTCCATTCAAAATCTGATAAAAAATATGAAAATTTCTTTCACCGACTGATTGATTAACGACTCGACACTGAAATAAATATTATTTAATTTATTTAATTTTATCATTTTAATACTGATTTCTAGTACCTTTTCCAATAAATCTAATGATTGCATTAAATATAAAAATTATGTTGAATTTATTTATTACATTTTGTATTAAAATCTTCAATAGATAGCTAATAGTTTGGTTGTGCTTACAATTTGTAACGTTGGCTCCCATTGGATCCCCTTTGAAGTCAAATTCAATTTCCAAAAACATTCCCTATATTTGAATGAATAAAATTTATATCGATTTATAGAAAATTTTTGATATTTTCATACAAAGCGTGAAGAGTTGTTGTTATGAATGGTAACTGCATTTCCAAAAGCTGTTCAATAAATTAATATAAACATTGATTTTGAATGAAAAGAAAGTGGAAATGATTGAAGTTTTGAAGACAAACCTTCTAAAACATAATTCAGCGAAAGTAACTGTTCCTTCAAATACTCTAAGTTTCTTCGACGACTGGATCCATAAATTAGATATTGTAATGCGATTTTTGCTGACTCTATCATACAATCACACAATTATTACCATTTAGTATATATTAGATTTTAGGTGAATATTTTAGTATATAATACATATCTATGTCTATATAATTTTTCAACGAATCAAGTGCAAATGCCATTACAATATTTTTTATATTAATTTTTAACTAAAATTACTCAGTAAATAATAAATTAATTAATTTTAATTATCTTAGATTGATATAATTAATGAAATTCTGATAAAATAATTATAAATCTGAAATATTAAACGAACATTGCTACAATTTGTTAAATTATGTACTTTAATTGAATTATATATTACTATACGTTATGAATATTAAATTCAAAGTATAGACAAGAGAATAGTGTTCTGAAAGTCATAGCACTATTGAAAACTAATGAACTGTAAGCATGTATTGCAAGAAAGTGTCATTTAAAGCTATATATGAATGCACTGTAAGTCATAAAAATGATGTTAATTACCAGTTTTTCCCGATCCACTCTCTGATCGCAGCAATTATTTGTGAACAAACCGAGCAAATGGTAAGAGATATTAATTATTATTAATTTAGAGAACATTCAAATGGATTATATGTTAACCTCCTGTTGTAACGATACACTGGTCGTGATTCCGATCTTTCATTGATTGAAACACATGTTCAGCGACGGCATAACTATGACATATACAGTGTCAACCAAATTATGTCTTTATCAAAAGTTAATAAATACAAAATATCTCACATATGTGGTGGTAAATCGAGGAGATGGTGGTGTTGATAAGCGGCAATCACTTCAGCTGAATAAAAGGATAACTTCTTATATGGATTAACAGCAATAATCGTTGTCCCCATATATGTCTGTAATTTATAAAATTAATTACTTAATAATAAATAACATTATAGATATTACTCAATTTAAACTTGTAATATATTTAAAATTTTTTAATGTGAAGAAAACTGTCATAGAATTAATGATTCAGTATTAGCTTATTAAATTAAAAATATATTAGTTTATTAGAATATAATGTAAAAATGCACTAATGTTAAACATAAACCATGCTTTAATATAAATCAAGTAAATATAAATAAAATATAAATCATGAAAGTATATCAAATATATTTTTAAAATTGTGAATTTAATTTTGTTTAAAATAAAAACATTTAAATTGACTCTAATTTTTCTAGATTATTTATGTAAACTTACCATAATCAATAATTAAAATAACTAACTAGTGCTACATTTATATAAATAGTTTATAAATAATATTTTTCAAATTCACTTGTGATGTGATTTAAAGAGTTTATGGTCACATACTTATTAATAAACACATTAACAGGGAATTTAAATATTCAATTAAATAATTAAATATTATATACAAAATCTAAATTAACAGATTCGTAAAACAAGATTTAATATAAAATGAATAATATGAATACTAATAAATATTTCAAATATCATACATAGATTTGGTCTCTTTTATATCTGTGGTGCAGGTTTTGGATGAAAGTGTCTTCAGTGAAGGGGTCAAGAGATGTGGTATCGGTTTGGCCGACCTCTTGATCCAAACAGAGGACTCCATGGATTTCTTGCCATAATTGCATTGACATTATATATTCAAACGAATATAATTTGGACAAAAACGACCACAACTTGCATTGATTGACAAATACATCAATTTATGTTTGTCATCAGACTCTTATCCATTAAATCTTCAAATATAATAACATTAAGTAATAACAGTGTCACCAATTGGTTCAACAATATCTTCATTATTATATGAATAATTTAAATGAATTATTAGATCCTAATGTAAATGTAGCGTCAAATGCAAAATGGATTGAATCTGAAAACATGAGAATTTATTTAGTAAATTATGTTGATAGAAAATATTTTATTTACAAATTTTAATAAACGGTTCATTATCAAATTAACTGACTTTTTATAATATTATTAAAAATAAATGCTTACATAAAAAACATATAATAATATTATGTATTATAAAATACAGATAAATAACGAGTTAATTAATAATATTTATAAATAACTTTTAAATGGAAAGCGAAGCGCCAAATGTCATATCAATAATAAAATATTATTTTATCAAACATTTTGCTTAACATTATGTAAGGGATAGAGACTGAGCTAATAATCAATAAAACACCAGTTAATGCGCTAATACTCACATCTGTTCAGTCATTATTTTCATCACTTCTCAATGGATTCCGATAGATATTCTCACCCTTTAGAGTATTTAATCAAAAATAACTCATATATTAGTTAATTATTTTGTGTTTTATCTAATCATAATAAGTCAGAGTGAATATCACTCATAGAAACGAGAGGAAAAATTTCTACCATTAATTTTATACAGTATACTAGTATTGCCTTTTATTCTATGCTTCTGTAGTATACAGAAGATGCTGTATTCATCTCTCTCTCTCTCTCTCTCTCTCTCCGCAGTCAAAGCGCATAAACAGTATTCGCTGAGTAGTAGTGACCGTAATCTCTGGAATTTCATTCAGTTGTAAATGTGTTTGAAATATAAGTCTAGAAGTTATGTTTGTATCGGTTTCGCACATCTATATTTCGCCGCTATTGTGCTATTGTATTATTTGTTCAAATTTCAATAGCATTGCCATTTTTGTTAATACATTATAATTAATCTATTCTATTTCCTATTTTGATTTTAATAATTTTTAAATTTTGCAGAGAGAGAGAGAGAGAGAGAGAGAGAGAGAGTTTAAAACAAAAGTACAGAATTTCAAATATAAGGATTACTAACCCAGTACAATTTTATATCAAATTTTAAAAAATTAATTGTAAAGGTATAAATAATATATTTTATGAAACAATATACTTATTTTGTGCATATTTATTGTATTAATAATTTCAATTCATGTCAAAAAATAATAAATAATTTAATGTGACTTTATTTACTGTATATTTAAATCATAACCTCTTTATCACTAAAAGATCTCTTCCACCAACAAATCCTTTCTATTCATTGGAAGCTATCAAACACTTAAGACTTGGTTTTACTCAATCAAAGTACAGTTAATTAAATCCACATTCAGTTCATATCGTATAAGTTAGTAAAAATAGTAAATAAACTCTATTTTATTTACTAATTTTAATATATTTGCCCTGCAACTTATGCAATTTTTATTAAATAAATTATTATAATTCCAAAAATAATATTAAATTATATTTGAGATTTAAGTTTGTTATTTTGATCTATAAAATAAAAATCCATGATACATTTCAATGAACGCACAAAATGCTGATTCGTGGTAATGAGTTATCAATTATTGACTTTCTATTTGATTGTACTTTGGTAAACTTATCCAAAGTTTGTGAACATCAAATCATGTGAGCAAACTAAATTGATATTAATTTTATATCACACTACAATGTAATGGAAATATTGTTCTCGCCTTAATTATTAAACATTGTGTTATAAATACACGAGAAACTAATTTTAGATAAATTAATAAAAATAACAAAATATTTTGTTTACAGTATTTAAATGCTTTAAAAAAGGGTTAAAATGATCCCAGATGACACAATGAGCATAATTATAGTGTTTTCTAAAATAAGATTCAATTTAATTCAAGGCTGTCTAATGTCGCCAACATTTGGCTGCCATTCAATTTGCATTCAACTCCTTTATAATTAAGCGTATATATAGTGAACTTGACTTTTATTTTAATCATTTTTTAATACAATTTATTTAACAATAATAATGACAATAAAACTAATTAATCAAATGACTGTTCAATTAGTGCACATTTGAGGCATTTATTCATTTGAATACAATTTGTTGAGAAAAATAAACTGAAAGCATGTCTTGAGTGATGAAATTGAGATATAATTGAAAACCTAATATAAACCTAATTTGTTGAATGAGACACTACTTGACGGCGTCTGATATCCGCCAGCAATGGATCTGTCTTCGGGAGACA